GGTGGTGGGACGGCGGAGCACCGCTTTGAGCTGGGCCTGGTGCCATGGAGTCTATAGGTAAGCTTTATGGGGACAAACAGTGGGGAGCTGGGCTTGCAGCAGGGCGAAGAGAAGGTGATGTGACCAAAATATCGACTTTCATACCGGCTTGGCAGTGGCCGGGCGTACCGCAGAGGAAGTAGTAATGGCCGGCTCTTTTGAGGGTGATGGAGTCGGAGCCGGAGGTGTAGGTGGCCACGGGAGACGAGGCGTTGCATGACCGGAAATCTCGGTGGACCACTTGCTTCACGTTGTGGTATTGTTTGTGGTACTCGAAAACCAGAGAGTCGCCGACGTGAAAGTTATGGGAGGAAGCCCACTTCTTGTAGTCGACGTTACCGAGGGTGGTCCAGCCGGCAGAGTCACCGACCTTGTAAACGGCACCGAGGGAAACTCCAAACAGAGCCAACATTAGGAAGAAGAGCATGGTTTTCTTCGCAAAAGCCATGGCCAGAAGACTGTTGCCGGAAGTAGGCAAAATATAAAGCAAGAAAGAGGCAGGGGAAATGAAGAACAAAGAAACCAGGGACAGAATTTGTGAGGGACAGACTAACCGTGCTCGCTGTATATAAAGGGAGAATTTTATTTTTTAGAATATATTATATGAAATAATCTTTTTACAATTTTTTTTCATCCCTTTTAATATTTGAATTTAAACTTTTTAATTTAAAATTTTAAACTTTTAATTATTGGGTTAAGGTTATTCATAGTAAGATTTGTAAATGATTTTTAAAACTTGGGATAAAAACAACTTTCATAAAATGACAAAAAGGGGGAATTAACCCCCCAATTTTTTTAATTATTGAAATAAAATCCTATACTATTTAATGAAAAAATTAATATTTTTACTTTTAAATTAAATAAAATTATCTACACTTAAGTTTTGTGATACGATAATTATATATATCTCATTATAAAGTGTACACCTCCAACAAAAATTTTAAATGAAATTGTCCCATTTACATTTAAAGAGAAATAAATGAATCCAAATTTAATTGATGACATCATCTTATGTCATAATTCCATCATCCCCTTCTGTCACCGTTAACTTCTCATCACTGCCCTTGCACTCCGCTAACTTCTTGCTGACTGGACAATCATGGGCCCATTTTTCTAATGACATGGCAATCATTATACGTGCTGGACAAAACCAGCAGCAAAAACTTGCTCTTTCCTTTCTCTTTCTTCTTCTTCTTTTTATTTTTTATTTTTTATTTTTTTTTATAGAATAGTCTCTCCTTTTTCTATTGAACAAATAATTAATAATATTATAATATATATTAAATTAATAAATACTCCATAAAATTTACAAAAAAGAAAAAGAAATACTCTATTAAAAGAAAAATTGAGTGTTTTCACAAAACTTAAGTTTTAGTCACATTGCAAAAAGAGTTTTTTGAAAGGTTTAATAACTCGTGGTGCAAGTATTGAAATCACTAAAGATCACTAAAGAAGATGCGTCAACGATCTAAATAGTTTAGTGGATATTTATTTTGTTAAAAATAAAAGATTTTGAATTCAAATTGCATAATATGCGAATGAAATGAGATAAGAGATGAAATATAGTTATTTCTCATTATATAATTAAGATAAAAAAAAAAAGAGAAGAGAATATTACTGAAGGTTGCAATGGTGTAAGTATGTATTTTTTTTCATATCTTTTGTTTGTTTTGATTTTAAGAGATTTTGAAATTCTTAATTATTTATTTTTAAAAAAAGATTAGAGTTTCGTATAGGAAAAATAAATTTGTCTTTAACTCAAATTATTAATTAATAATAAATAAAATATATAATATTTTTTGTTATGAAATAATGTTTTTGAGTACTTAATTGTTATGAATAAATAAAATTAAACAAATTAAACACACATGTCCAAAGCCGTGTATGCCCAACAATTGTTTATGTCCCCATAACGTTGCGCATTAAAAGGAGGTGATTTCTTTTTTATTTTCTCCTCGATACTATTAAACTATAGACTTGCAGTGTAGGCTGTCAACTCTACTAATAAACGATGATGGATGGTAGGGGTGACCCTTTTTAATGGAGTACCAATAGTGATACGAAAATTTGAGGTAAAAATTTAAAATTAATAATATGATTTATACCATATCACTAAATTAATTGATATATATAATATTATATATTTTAAAAAATAACAAAATTAATTAAAATAAATTTTTTAATATTTTAAATACCATAATTTTTTTTTTTGAACAATGATCATGGGGTGGGTCGAACCCACCCAAGAGAGGAGGATGAACCTTTGATTGTAGCAGTTGCCAGTAGGCCAGTAGGCCAGGTGCTAAATAACATAATTTTACCTTATCATTAATAATAATTTTTATATTAAAATTTAATTT